AGAAATTGAACTGAAGATCATAGTTTTAAAGCTCTCTTCTATGTGTGAGATTTCAGCAATCTATTAAAGTAAAAATACTTGGCCAGATGACTAAATAGCAAGGTTAAGGAGCCTACACAGGTAGGAAAAACCACCAAAAAGGTGGGTTACTTTTCAGTCCCCAGCTCTAATCAGGGCAGCCTGCAAGGAAGATCAGGCTACTCTTGGTCATAGTCAATACCCAGCACCTGGCAGTCCTTGCTCAGGGCTGGCTGCAGTCTAAATAAGCCTCAGCAATCCTTGGTAGTAGTTCATGGGGAGCGGCTGGGCTGAACCCTGGAGCGCTGACTCTACCGGTTCTGCTCCTGGTTACACCAGCTGTTGCCCCAATGCTACTGGATGAGTGCTGTGTGTTCATTTCTTAGGGCCACTGGAACACAGCACGGCAATCTCCGTGTCTGAAAATGACGGATATTTATTTTCTCACAGTTCCAGAGGCCAGAAGCCTGGAGGGTAGAGCCACGCTTCTCCAAGTCCAGCTTCTGGTAGCCCCAGACATTCCTGGGCTTATGACAGCATCAAGGCAGCCTCTGCCTTCGTCTTCGCACGGTCCTTCTTCCTTTGTGCATCTCCTTGTCTTCTTTATTTTTTTTTATTTATTATTTTTTTTGAGTTGGAGTCTCACTCTGTCGCCCAGACTGGAGTGCAGTGGCCACTCCCAGCCACCGCAGCCTCGACCTGCTGGGCTCCGGCGATCCTTCCACCTCAGCCTTCTGAGTAGCCGGAATTACAGGCGCGTGCTACCATGCCCGGTTAATTTTTTGGATTTATGGTAGAGATGAGGTCTCGCCTGCCCAGGCGGGTCTCGAACCCGCAGGCTCAGGCAATCCACTCACCTCAGCCTCCCAAAGGCGCGGGATTACAGGCTGAGCCACTGAGCCCGGCTTCCTCGTCTTCTTTAAAGGACACCAATCGTAGCGGATGAAGGCCTGCCCAATCCCAGGATGACCTCATCTCAACTCAGTTATATCTGCAAAGATCCTCTTCCAAATAAGTTCACTTTCACTGACACGTGAGGTCAGGACATCAACACACCTGTTTGGGGGACACAGTTCCATCCACAGCATACAGTGTCAAATTGGAAGCACCTACAAGTGCTGACTCAGGTTAGCAGCCTACTCCTTGGGGAAAACGACCAAAGCAGATGGGTGCTTCCTTTTCTGCCCTGCCTATTTCAGAGGTTAAATAAAAACTGTGAGAGGGCATGACCGTGGCAGAGCTCCTGTACCAAGCCCCAACAGACCAAACCAGAATGGAGGCACTCATGCCAAGTGCCGCTTGATCATACAGAAACTTTAAGGCAGCTAAGTGGATCCCCAACAGACAAGTTTCTCCTGGAAACAGGAGATTAATAGCAAAGTCAGCTCATAAGGAAGTTCCTTTTGCTTTAACCCTTTCAAGGAAAGTAACTCGAAGTTACCAATCAGCGTTTTTACCATTGTTGTGCCCTTGTTCCCACCTTCTAAAACTCACTGTTCTGCCACTGCCCAATGGGAGCTCTCATTCCATTTTACAGAATGGAGGCCACCAGATGTATGAATCATGAATAAAACCACTTTGATCCTTAAGCAAATTTGTAGTATTTTGTCTTTTGACATGGGAGAAGACATCACCTCTCCACTCACCAGCTCTATCTATAGTGGTAACGCCAGAGGCAGCCTCTTCAGGCTCCTTTATGGCTCATTCAGTGCAGGCAATGAAACCATTTTACTGCAGTTGTGTATTTCTTCCACTCCAGGCCCTCATGTCTTACTCCTCTGAGGGAAGACTGGGGTACCATCCCCTAAATCTTGATGCTTCCTTCTTTCTTACCACTGAGCTAGAGAGCTGAAAGGCTTGGATATGAGTGGGGATCCACATGCAGGGAATCTTGCCGAGAAATAACTGAATTTGGACATGGCTATTCTACCTCTGACCTTGTCCGTGAGCTTCTTGGCTCCTCAACCCTGCCTACTCCTACACCCACCAACACATCTCCTTAAACTTACACAACCCTCCTAGAAGACAGGAAGACATGTTACTTAGGGCCACATAATCCCTCTGTTCAAAAACAATGTGCTCATGCAAGTGTACACTGGTGTTTATCAGAGACCATATTTATAAGATTCATGAGTAAAGAGATAAGCAGCTGTTTCCCAGAATCCTTCACACCAAGAGGACTGGCTCTATCCTCTACAAGTGAACACCTCTTCCTTCATAGGTTTGTCAACTTCTACCCAGGAAAAGAAAGAATAACATATATATATATAATTAAATATATTATATATTATATATATTTATACATATATATAAAATTAAAATTATTATATATTATATATTTATACACACACAATAGATACCACCTGTTTGTGGTTTTGGAAGGAAAATTAATATTTGCAAAGCACAAAAACAAAACCCCTTTATGTTATGCTAAAGTATTAAGACAACTTTCTAATATTTCCCATCTGTTATAGATGGGAAAGTCTTGATATGGCGTAAGGCTTTGAATCTCAGTAACAGTATCAATAGCAACAATAAAAATAACATAGTATGCCAGCTTCTGTGGAATGTCTGCCATGTGCCAGTTGTTGCTTTGATAATTAAAGTATTATATCTTATATTGCTGGCAATCCTTACAACAGCTTCCTGGGTTAGAGTTTATTCCTTGAGAGATGAAGAGGAGACTGGGTGTGGGGTGCAGAATCGAGCTGTGCTTTGCCAGTTATGCAGGAAGGCGAAAACTGCTGGACTGGGAAATGCTTTTGTATCAAAGGGACAAAATGAAGGGGCTGGGGTTACTTGAAAAAAAGTTAACACTGGACACCATAATTGTAATTCAGTACTTGAGTGATACTTTTAGGAGGGTGAGAGAGTAGCTTATGTGAATTCTCCAAAACAGTATCATTAAAAAAATATTGACGATGAAAATCACCAAAAATTGCTAATCATTTCGTCTTAGTTGGCCTGCTTAGGGCTCCTCTCACACAGTACCATAGACTGAGTGGCTTAAACAATAGAAATTTATTTCTCACAGTCGTGGAGCTGAAAGTCCGAGATCAGAGTGCCAGCATGGTTGGGTTCTGTGAGGAGACTCCAGGCCTTCTTGCATCATTAGGTGATGACAAGAGGGCTGGAGAGCTCTTTGGGGTCTTTTTTATGAGTACTTACTAATCCTATCCAAGAGGCCTCCACCCTCATGACCCAATCACCTCCCAGAGGCCCCACCTAAGACACTGGGGATGCGGATTTCAACATATGACTTTTAAGGGACACAAATATTCCATCCATAGCATTACCCGAATAGGATTTATGTGTGATTTCTGAATACAACAGGTAGAAAAATAGCTGGCAAACATACAACCGAGTTGGCTTTGATATAATACTTTTCATTTTCATTCTACTTATTTGGTTAATTATGTAATAATTTAAATAATGAATCAATTATGTAATAAATTAAATAATGATTTAAATTATATCCTATATAATTAGGTAATATATAAATGATGGACAATTAGAATAAAAAAGTCTTCTGTTACTATCTAAGCCATGAAATAAATTAGGAGTTGTTGTTTTCATTGTAACATTCGCCTATTTTTAAAAATGGTATTGTCCAATTCATTTTGCTTATTTTGCACACATTTAAAGAACTTTAAAAAGAAGATTTTCAAATATCTCTGCCTTGCATGTGTCTAGATCTTGTATTTAAATGTCCTGTGCTGTTAGTTGCTATTCATCCTCAAACCTTGCACCAGATTCCCACTTTCTCAGGAAAGGATAACCAGGTGACCCAATTAGTCAAGGAGATGTAAGAGGCTTTCTAGGAAACATTTTCTTCCTTTTTCCAAGAGAAAAATGGTCAGGGGGGAAAGATCCTTTCCCAGTTTGGCCCCTTCTTTCTGTTTAAAATATGGTCTTGTGAGGGCTGCTTGGCTTGGATCGTGGGGGTCATCGTGCAGTAAGAAGGTGACAATTCCAGGGAGGAAATGCACAGGGAAGAAGGTGGCAGGTGAAAAGATGGAAAGATGGTCCTTCACGACATCCTTGAGTCACAGCATCAGGCCCGGATCTCCTGCCAACCTTCAGACTTATGTGATGTGATATCATTATTTAGTACACAGGCCACTGTGAGTGGCTGCTCTGTGACTTGTGTCTGGAAGCCCAATTCACTAAACGAATCCTAACTCATTCAACTTAACGTGGCACCCTTTTTTGAGTTGCTCCGGAACAAAGTGAAAGGTCAGAATCGAGTGCTTCTCAGTCTTCTAGGGAAGCATCCCTACAGAGCAGAGGGCCCTCCAAAGGTGTTGGTAGAGAGATAGGTCTGAGCAGCGGACTTCAGGCAGAATAGGCATTCTAATGCCCTCATGCTAAAAATGCATGTCCACGTTGTGTGCTGCTCGATTTAGTCCTTTCAGGCAGCGGACAACACTTACGAGCCCCTGAGAATGTGCTGAGAGAATAGACGGGAGGGTGGAAGGCTGGAGGTGAGGCGTGGTAGGTCGTGAGACGAGCGAGCGAGGGCACAGCCACAGGACCGCGAGGGCTGGGGTGGGTGCTCTGGGTGACACGTCTCGAATCGCTAACCCAAGCGGATTCAGCCCTCTTCCCGCCGCACGCCCAGGGGCGCCCGGGTCAATCACCACCTACGGGAATCTTCCGAATTTTCACTCGGCGCCCGCCGCCTCCTGGTGTTTACAAATGAGCCTTTGTACAGCGGCACGATGAAATGAAGACAATTCACGACTTTATGCGAACCCACCGTTGCTGGACAGCCGGCAGGTCTCCTTGAGCAGAACGTCCGCACCAAGCCTTCATCAAAACATCTCACGCGAGGCGAGTGAAAGGCCGGGCCCCGCGCGCCCCGCCCACCCCGCGCGCCCCGCCCACCCCGCGCGCCCCGCCCACCCCGCGCGCCCCGCCCACCCCGCGCGCCCCGTCGCGCCCCTCACGCACGCATGCACGCTTGCATGCACGGCGCAGGCCCGACTACGTCAGCGGCGCGCAGGCGCAGGCCGTTCCCCGCGCTTTTCGGAGGCTGCCGGCGTCCGGGACGCGCTTCAGGTCGGCGGTAGTGAAGGGAGGCGGGCGGAGCCGGGGCGCCGCCGGCCCGCGTGAGGCCTCTGCGCCGGGACGCCGGGGCGAGACGGGTGGGTGCTGCCGGGGGCCGCGGCTTCCCGGTGGGGCTGTGCAAGGCCGGTGTCCGGGCGGGCGGCGGCCCGGGGCTTTCTCGGGAGCCATGCCCTCGGCGCCCCTTTCGATTTTTCTTTCTGTTCGGTGGGGGGATGGGTGGTCCTCCCCGCTCCCCAGCGCGAGGCTAGGTTGGGCGGTGGTGTCGGGAGCCCCGGAAGACCCCCGAACCGCCCTTTGCGCGGCGGCCTGGGCAGCGGACCGGGCCGAGTTCCGCAGACACAGCCCCAGTGATGGGGTCGGAGGGCTGATGGCCTCCTCGGGGGGCCGTCGCGAGGAGAGTGACGAGCGGGGTCGCGTGGCGTGTCTTCTAGGTGCTGGAGCTGGTGTCGGCGACCTGCAGAATTCCCAGGCCCCGCCCACGAAGTGATGTCACTGGGCTCCGCGTGGAGGTGAAAACAGGCGAGAGCCACTGGGAGGTGTCCTCTGGGTTGCCGCTGAAGGTGATGGAGCTGGGTCTGAGCCAGGCAACCCGGCCGCGGGGCCCGCGCTCCCGACTCCCGTGCTGTTTTGCCCCAGGAATGGAGATCTCTGAAACAGGGGTCCCCAACCTCCCGGCCAGGGGCCTCTTCCACGAAATTGGTCCCTGATGCTAAAAAGGTTGGCGACCGCTGCTCTAAAGGAAACCGGGCTGCACGGCGGGAGGTGAGCGGGCGGCCGGCTAGGGAGCAAGATTTGTCTGTGATGGCAGCCGCTCTCCATCACTCGCATTGCAGCCTGAGCTCCGTTTGCAGTCAGATCAGCGGCGCCTTCGATTCTCACAGGAGCGCGAACCCTTTTTGTGGACTGCGCACACGGGGGATCTAGGTTGCGCATTCCTTACGAGATTCTAAGGCGTGATGGTCTGAGGTGGAGTTGAGATGGTGATGCTAGCACGGGGGGAGAGGCTGCAAATACAGATTGACATCAGCTGCGAGGTTGACTGCACAGAGACCACAGTAAATCAGTTGCTTGCAGACTCGTATTAATAATTTCATAACAATTACTTCATTGTGTATTACGATGTAATAATAAGAATAAAGTGTACAATAAATGTAATGCACTTAAATCCTCAAACCGTCCCTGACATCACCACCACCTACTCCCCTACCCCCGGGGAAAAATTGTCTTCCACGAAATTGGTCCCTGATGCTAAAATGGTTGGGGACCGCTGCTCCAAAGGGCCTGTACAGTGTCTGGTAGGAGCTCTGTCTTTTAATAACGCTTACTCCAATGAATACCATATTCTGTGTACTGAGAGAATATAATAGAAAACAGTACCTACTTGCAGAAGCCCATGGTCTAATTAGGAAGACAAATACCACATTCTTAAGATAGTTAGAACGTTATTAAAATGTAAATTGAAATACAATTCTTATGTCATTGCTAATTGACCATTCTTGTTTAGATCTAGGAAAGTCCTTGAAGGTTAAATTATAACTTGGAAATTATAAACAGAACAATGGCTATGCCATTAATTAGTGATGACCAAAAATTTCTTCTTTATCCATATCTATATTTGTGAGATAAATGATTGAATTGAAAGGAAGAAATAAGACTTGGGCGGTGACTATTTTAAAAGGTGAAGATGGAAAGGAGAAAAAAGAGGGGTGTTCTAAGAACAGTGACTAGAACGCTGAGCTATTGGAGGAATCCCAGGATTGCTGATGATAAAGTGATATTTAGCCATGAAGAGAAAGAGGATGATCATAGTAATTGTGAAAGTTTGTGACAAATGTTTTCCAAGTTTACCTGTTTTTCAGTTTCTCATTTTCAGTATTTCAGTATTCATTTAAAAATGAAAAAGTTTTAAAAGTTATTTATAAAAAGTGTAAAGTAAGAGTTAGATTGGTGAAAATAAGGATGAGCTGCTTATCAGGGGAGGCCAGTTCTAGTTTTGACTCTGTTTAGCTTTGTAGCTTTTAAAAAAATTACAGTCTCACTGGATCTTAAATTTCTTTATTTTCCAACAAAGGTATATGGGTACCTATATACAGTGTGACAAATTCTTTGCAAGACATTATGGGAGGTACAAAGCAGTATTAAACATGGCTGTTGGACTAAAATACTTTATTGATTATTAAGCTACACTTACACATAATTTGGAAGGTAAAAATAAGTAAATTCTTGGTTTTTACTGTATTACAGTAAAAAAATTTAGTTTTTAAAAAATAGATTATTCTTGTGGATTTACTGGTAAATTCTACATATCCAACATGATACATTCATCTACAGTTCTGTTAAGATATGACTTAATGTGGAGGGACTTACGGAAATAACTTGAGAAAAAAAATCTAAAGTAAAAGCACTTTACTAATAACCTAATTTACTTTGTTGTCATACTTGATTTATTGTAATAATTTCACTTTTTAATACTTTATGTGAAATTGGGAAATTGTGAGAAATTCTGGGGCATTCTGTTTTAGGTGCTTATGAATAAAGTCATTAAAAACATTTAAATATGTCATAGTTCATATTATGATCCATGCTGCTCAATCTGTGACCTAGGCTGGCAGTGTCAAGAAGCATTGTGTACATGGTGAAGTGCACTGAATCTGGAGTGAAACTGCTTGTGTTCGATTTCTGGCACCACTCATAACTGGCTGTGTAATCTCAAGTAAGTTTCTTAACTCTCAGCCTCAGTTTCTACATTTGCACAATAGGGATAATGAAAGTAATTTTTAGATTATTTTCATATTCATTACTTGATTGTTAAAATGGTTCCTCTCTTTATAGATAAGAATAATGAAGGCTCAGTGATAGTTTGCCTATGATCATTCATCTAATTTCTCTTAGAGATCAGACTTCTCATTTGTTTTGGTTTGTGTATCTATAGTTGCATTGTCTATCCATATTCCATATTACCTTTCATTTGATGATTAATTTTAAACCCTTTTCATTTGAGCTTTGAATGTTTTTCCTTTTCATGGGGAAAATTTATTATATAACTAAAACAGTTTAACCATAAAAAATTAAGTCTTTAATCTTGAGACTTTATACAGTATGTCTTGAATACTTGAAATCTGTGGTTAACTAGATATTTCTCTTGCCAAGTAATCTATCCTTATACATTTACTTTATAAATGAAAAGTTTGATGTACCTTCCTTCAGATTAGCAAATATTTTTAAAGCATGTTTAAAGTGCTATATCTTTTTTTCTTGATACTGATTTTTTTGTTTGTTATAGAACCTCTAAAATGCAGACCTCCAGCTCTAGGTCTGTGCACCTGAGTGAATGGCAGAAGAATTACTTTGCAATTACATCTGGCATATGTACAGAACAGAAGGCAGATGCATACCGTGCACAGATATTACGCATTCAGTATGCATGGGCAAACTCTGAGATCTCCCAGGTCTGTGCTACCAAACTGTTCAAAAAATATGCAGAGAAATATTCTGCAATTATTGATTCTGACAGTGTTGAATCTGGCTTGAATAACTATGCAGAAAACATTTTAACTTTGGCAAGATCTCAACAAACTGACAGTGACAAGTGGCAGTCTGGATTGTCAATAAATAATGTTTTCAAAATGAGTAGTGTACAGAAGATGATGCAAGCTGGCAAAAAATTTAAAGACTCTTTATTGGAACCTACTGATGCATCACTGGTAATTCATAAGGAGGCCACTGTCTATGCTCTTCCTAAATGTAGTGGTTTTGGCAGTTCTGGAAGGGGTGACCTTTTACCTAACTCAACTTATGATACAGATAGGACCCAAGACGTCCCAGAGAGCAATCCTTTGAAATACCATCAGAGCGCCCAGCCACCTATGGTGACTAACACCACTAAGACTTGTCCTACATTCTCAACACCTTTAGGTGAGCCAGCCATTGCAAAATTTCATGCCACACCATTATTTGGAAATGGCAGAAAGGAAAATTGCATCTCTCCAAAAGGCAACGTAGGACTAAATGTGTCCTTATCAAATCAATCTTGTTTTCCTGCTGGCTGCGAAAATCCACAGGAAAGAAAGACTTTCTATGATTCTGGTACCACTGATGTACTTTCCAATCCAGTAATGAATAAGGCTTTTCATAAAACAGAAGATAATGGTCAAAAGGAGGACAGCAGCCTGCCTACTTTTAAAACTGCAAAAGAACAGTTATGGGCAGATCAGCAAAAAAAGTTCCAGCAACCCCACCGTGTATCAGGGTCTTCATATGGTGGTGTAAAAAAGTCCCTGGGAGCTAGCAGAGCACGAGGAATATTTGGAAAGTTTGTTCCTCCTATACCTAAACAAGATGGGGGAGAGCAGAATGGAGGAATGCAGTATAAGCCTTATGGGACAGGACCTGCAGAACCAGCACATCCAGTTGATGAGCGCCTGAAGAACGTGGAGCCAAAGATGATTGAACTTATTATGAATGAGATTATGGATCATGGACCGCCAGTAAATTGGGATGATATCGCAGGAGTCGAATTTGCTAAAGCCACAATAAAGGAAATAGTTGTGTGGCCCATGATGAGGCCAGACATCTTTACTGGTTTACGGGGACCCCCTAAAGGAATTTTGCTCTTTGGTCCTCCTGGGACTGGTAAAACTCTCATTGGCAAGTGCATTGCTAGTCAATCAGGTGCAACATTCTTTAGCATCTCTGCTTCATCTTTGACTTCCAAATGGGTAGGTGAGGGGGAGAAAATGGTCCGTGCATTGTTTGCTGTTGCAAGGTGTCAGCAGCCAGCTGTGATATTTATTGATGAGATAGATTCCCTATTATCTCACCGGGGAGATGGTGAGCATGAATCTTCTAGAAGGATAAAAACAGAATTTTTAGTACAGTTAGATGGAGCAACTACGTCTTCTGAAGATCGTATTCTAGTGGTGGGAGCAACAAATCGGCCACAAGAAATTGATGAGGCTGCTCGGAGAAGATTGGTGAAAAGGCTTTATATTCCCCTCCCAGAAGCTTCAGCTAGGAAACAGATAGTAATTAATCTAATGTCCAAGGAACAATCTTGCCTCAGTGAAGAGGAAATTGAACAGATCGTGCAGCAGTCTGATGGGTTCTCAGGAGCAGACATGACACAGCTTTGCAGAGAGGCTTCTCTTGGTCCTATTCGCAGTTTACAAACTGCTGACATTGCTACCATAACACCAGATCAAGTTCGACCAATAGCTTATATTGATTTTGATAATGCTTTTAGAACTGTGCGGCCTAGTGTGTCTCCAGAAGATTTAGAACTTTATGAAAACTGGAACAAAACTTTCGGTTGTGGAAAGTAAATGGGACACTTGAAATTAAAAGATGGCATTTTTGTAGTACAGTCTTTTTCATTTTTTAGCACAGGAAGCTCAGGGTTTGTTAATTGCATTTTTTAGAATATATTCTAAATTCTGTACCTCAGTAATGGCGAATTTAATAACCAATTGACATAACCTGTGTTAATCTAAATTTTATTTGCCTTATTTGATGTGTAAGCCTTATTTAAACAAAATGAGAATGCATTTTTTGTTTTTTCAAAAGAAGTTTTTCTTTTGAAAATGTAGAAGAGTATGAATGGTAAACGCTAATTGGAACTTTTTTTAGGCTGAGGATTACTCATAAGGTTGTATCTGATTAAAATTTATCTTTTATTGAAGAAAGTTCCTTCTGAAGTTCACGTAATTCTTAATGTTAGCTAGTATAATGGTTTACATGAAAAACAGCATTGTTTACTGTTACTTAAATAGATTTAAGATCTCACCAAAAGCTAGAGTGAAAGTATCAGTTTTTGCTTTCTGCTTTTTGTTCCTTATCTCCTAATTTTTGTTTGTTATCGGGACTAATAAAAATATGTTCAGAAATAACAAGTCTACCTTCCACAAGTTGGTTTTGATAAGATAGAGTCATAGTATAAAGATCTTGGGCTTACTTTTAATTATTTTCTTTTTCTAGACTTTAGACCTTTTTCATAGGTCCTACCTAGACTATTATTTTTTACTTGTCTCTGTGTGTTATTAGTCTTCATTGTTATTCCCTAGTTTTTTTAAGGTACACTATAACCCACCTCCAGAGATCTGATTGAGAAGATTCTATTCAGGCCTATGGAAAAAGGACAGGTCAGATAAAGATACATCGTTTAGCTTCCTTCTCAGATTCCCAAATCTAGAGTTGGTGGTGAGTAAGCATCTGGAGCACATTTTAAACAGTTTGGATAGATGGAGCTATTTTAAAGGCCTAGAAGCCTTGCTGAATGGAGGGAGGCGTAGAAGAATAGATGAGATCTAGTCACCAATTTTTTTTTCTTTCTTTTTTTTTTTTGAGTTGGAGTCTCACTCTGTCGCCCAGACTGGAGTGCAGTGGCCGCTCCCGGCCACCACAGCCTCGACCTGCTGAGCTCCAGCAGTCCTTCCACCTCAGCCTTCCAAGTAGCCGGAATTACAAGCCTGAGCTACCACGCCTGGCTGATTTTTTTATTTATTGTAGAGATGAGGTCTCGCTGCCCAGGCGGGTCTCGAACCCATGGGCTCAGGCAATCCACTCACCTCAGGCCTCCCAAAGGCGCGGGATTACAGGCTGAGCCACCGAGCCCTGCTTTTTTTTTTTTTTTAAGAAAGCAGAATTTATTAAGAGGATAGAAAATCTCCCACAGTGGGAGAGGATCCAAGGGGGTTGCCCTAATCACCACTTTTAATGCTTGCCTTTAAAAAAGATTTAACCTTTTACCTTTTCACAGTCAGTTTATAATGGAAAGAGCATTTAAATGGGTTTTGGAAAACTGCCCATGATTTTGATCTTGGACAATTTGTAAATACTATGATTTCAGTGTTTTTTGTTTTTTTTTTAAGCAATAAGTGAGGAAGCTGTAGAAGACAGTCACTAATGACACATCTAGGCCTGCTATTCTGTTATCAGTGCCAAAAGTTAACTTATCAGTTTGACATTTGCTTACAGAGTGCCAGGTGCTGGGCACCATGCTACGTACAAAACAAAATGTAGTTGTGTAAGGGCTAACTTTTTAAGTGTTACGAACTTGGATCGTTATAGAAACTGAATGGGAAAATATTGAGAGGGCCTTGGTAAGGAGTTAGGGCAGCACAGTATGCCACTGGATATACAAATCATTAAAGATAAGGGGGAAAAACAAAAATTAGGAATTCCACATAAGGTAGTGTTTTAGGCAGCGTACTGCAGTTAAGGATACTTGAACCTTTGGTGCTTTGTGTTGGCTGAGCCCAGGAGTCTCAGCAACCAGCTATTTGCCTGCTAAGGTCAGAGAAACCTAGGTGGCAGCGCTCTGTTAATCCATTTCTGTTTAGAAATTTAGAGATGACTTGGGAAAAAAATGGCAAGTCCAGGTTCCTCAGGTGTGGCCAGGGCAAGCATTCCAGTACCACGACAGCCTGTGCAATGAATGAACAGAGAGTGGTTCTGTTGGTCAAGTCTCCACCCACTGATTTCTAAGCTGGGCAGTCTCAGAGAGGGACCCATGGTGGTCCCATGCTTTGATGTCAGAGTTGTTCTTTACCGTGTATCCAGCTATGCAAGCAGCACACCTTTCCCTTAAAAGGCTTCTGTGATGAACTATACCAGCCCCCCACCTTTTTTTTTTTTTCAGAAGAAAATATTAGCTTAATAAGAAAAAGGTATACTGTGGAGATTTTCATTTAGGATGGTGGACAGTGTCACAGGCTCTTTCCTGCCCATATGTGCAAAGTGCTCATTGAAGTGAAAAGATAAAAACTAAGAATAAATTCATTCAATGTTGGAAAAGAGGGAAGGATGCCATTTTTGAATATGACATTTTAGATGTTTCTGGAAGTTACAAGGCAAACAGTGTTGGGTTGTTGGAATTCCTAGGCTAAGTAATAAAGTGCTGTGGAAAGGCCAGCTGAGATTGATTTTCTCAGAAGTGCCTGGGATGTACCCTTAGCACAGGTAGCAAAGTGTCTGTGGGCCAGGAGTCTGGTATCTGGAAGGACTGCTGAGACTAGTCTTACAGATATCATGCCCTACTGTTCATATGGAGGCACTGGGAAGTAGGAGTTTCCTAAATCAGGAAGTGATTTATAGTGACCTGGCTTTTGTGGGCCCTGTGGCCTGAGAAATTAGTTGGTGGCAGGTAACTTCAGACCATCACATTAGATAGAAGCACACGTGTTTGATGAAACATCGAAAGCTTCCAGTGTACTCATTGCTGTCTCACTTGTTATCTCCTTCCTCATTTGTCAACCTCCCTTTCTATTGTTCTTGTCTATATTCTTCCCATGGACACACACGCAGACCCACACCAAGGTTAACACATTGCTTCCCATCCATGGCCCTGCTTAGCAGTATGAGGCACAATTAACAAGGAAGCTTTCCCCTCTCGCCATATTGATCATTTTCACATATAAATTAACTTATATTGCTTCCCTAGATAAAAAATACTCCAATAGATTCCCACTGAAGTGAAAATATAATTCAAATCCTTCCTAGAGCCAAACATCATTCCTCTCTACTCTCCTCACTTTGCCTCATCCCACTGGTCTTTATCTTAACCAAGGTGCAACAAGCACAATTCCCATCTAGGAAGAGTGGTGGGCAGAATTCTGAAGATGGTCCCATGATTTCTGTCCCTTGGTTACTCAATCAAACACTAGTCTAGGTACTGCTGCAAAGGGTCTTTGTAGATGTAATGTAGTTATAGACCTTAAGATAGGTTATTCTGAATTCTTTGGGTAATCCCAATCTAATTACATAGGTCCTTAAATGCAAGGGTGATTTCTGGCTCAGAGGAAGGCAGAAGAGTCGGAAAAAAAGATATGGCAGAATATGAAGTCAGAGATTCCAAGTACAAGAAAGCTTTGACTTGTCATTGCAGCTCTGAGATGTAGGAACCTATTTGCAAGGCCAGAGAGAAGCCTCTAAGTTGACAGCAGCCCCCAGATAACAGCCAACCAAGAAACAGACCTCAGTCCTACAACTGCATAGAAATGATTATTCCAACAGCCTGAATGAGCCTGGAAGCCTCCCCTAGAGATTCCAGATAAGAGCCCAGGCTGGCTGACACCTTGATTTTAGTCTTAGGGAACCTAGAACAGAGAAACTAGCAGAGCTTACCAGACTTCTGATTCACAGAACTGTAAGATTACAAGGGGCGATACCCCCAAAATGAATTATTTTTTTGAGTGTAGGACTCTTGGAGTACAGACTTCCCCTGCTAGGTTAGTGTTCTAGGAACCCGTCAGCATCAGTGCACCAGCTAGATTTGTTGTGAGGCTGCATTTGCCTTCAGTGAGTTTGTTTTTTCTTTTTTGCAGAGATTCAATGTGTGCCCATTTCATGATGGGTGATTTATAAGCACACCTGCCTGAAACCTCAGTCACTAATCAGCAGTTTTTGACCAAAAATGGCATGACCCCTTTGTTCCACCCTCCCTATTCACCTGATCTCACCCTAAGTGATTTTTTTTGTTTGTTTTTTTCTCTGGATGGAAAAAGTCCTGAAAGGGAAAGGTTTGGCCAGTGTGGAAGAGGTAAAAAATGACAGAAGCGGTAAAAGGCATCAAAATGGATGAGTTCAAAAACTTTTGAGCAGTGGAAAAAGCATCTTAATAGGTATATTGCATCATCAAATGGAGAGTACTTTGAAGATGACTGAAGTTCAAACATGTAAGTACACATTATTTTATAAATTCCATATTTTGGGGTCCCCCATGTATAACACCATTAAAAAACTGGGCAAATGACATGAACAGACATCTCTCAAAAGAATATATACGAATGGCCAATGAACATGAAAAAATGCTCTATATCACTAATCATCAGGGAAAAGTAAATCAGAACCACAATGAGATACCATTTTACACCAGTCACAGTGGCCATTATTAAAAAGTCAAGAAATGATAGATGCTGGCACAGATTCAGAGAAAAAGTAACGCTTATACACCGTTGGTGATAGTGTGAATTAGTACAACCTCTATGGCAAGTGGTATGGAGATTTCTCGACAACTAAAAGTAGATCTTACCATTTGACACAGCAATCCCACCACGAGGTATCTACCCAAAGGAACAGGCCTTTATATACAAAGGTACCTGCACCTGTATGTACATTGCAGCACAATTCACAATTGCATAAATGTGGAATCAGTCTAAATGCCCATCAACTGACTAGTGGATAATGAAAATATGGTATATATACACTATGGAATAATATCTAGGCTATAAAAAAGAATGAAATAATGTCTTTTGCAGCAACTTGGGTGGAATTGGAAAGCATCCTAAGTGAACTACCTCAGGAATAGAAAACCAAGCACCACATCTTCTCACTTATAAATGGGAGCTAAACTAAGGATATGCAAAGACACAGAGAATGGTATAAGAGTCAGGTGTGGGGGAAGGGGTGAAGGGATGAAAAATCACATGTTGAGTACAATGTGCACCAGTGGGGATGGTGAGTACACTTAAAGCTCAGACCAAAATTTATTTGTACATTCTAAAGCTATTGAAATTTGAAAAAGCAAACAACAACCAAACAGATTATAACTGTTCTAAGCTGCTAAATTTGTAGTAATTTGAGAATTACTACAATCAATTACAATCAATGAGAATAAGGACCTTTCTCCTATCTGGTCCCTGAGTTTGGAAAGCTCTCCTCTACAGCTTTTGATAGTTATTGCCTCATTCAAGTTAGTAAAATATAATTTCTCCCGAAAGGCCTTCCCTGACCACAGTCTGTGAGGTAGCCTCTACCAACTTCTGGCACATGTGTATGTATCAATATCACATTAACCTATATTTTTATTGGTAAATATCACTGGCAGAAAGTATTTTATTTATGCTTATTGTCTTCTTTCCCTCAATCTCTGCTCAC